CCTTGTAAAAAGTCCCTCTCCAGCTTTCTGATACTAATCTGAAATTCTTTGCGGTCCAAAAAAAAAAAAAGTGAGGTTTTGTTTGTTTTCTTGTGAATACTTGGTGTAAATTTTCCCCGTAGCGCGGCTTTTCCTCATTCATGCTTACAAGCTGATTTATGCTGTGTTTAATCCTTGAGTAAACAGGAGTTAAAACAAACTTATGCTTTTAAGATTGTCTGTTTTTTACTGTTCCTCCGTTTCTATGAGGAGGAACGAATTATTATTTCATAACGATATACATTCTCAAAATATTTCGTTATGACTCGATTTTGCCATTTTTTTTAGAATATTCCTGAAGAAAGCTTGTATGTTAAATGTAACGGGCGACTGGTTAACGATGAAGATGTACTGCAGAACGGAGCTGTTTATAGTCTGGAACCAAGACTGTGTGGTGGAAAAGGAGGTTTGTTGCTTAACTCATTGTTATTGATTATTCTTAGGTTAATAAACTTTTATTTTACCATAGTCGATACTGATAACAGCAGTTCCAGTTAGTTAGCAGATCTCTTGTAATAAGGATGACTGCGATGTAACGTGTATGAGCTGAAACCAAAGTCTGTGTGGTAAGCTGAGAATTGACCAGGGAAGCTGCAGTTCAGCTAACAACTTTGCTGGCACAGCTCTTCTTTGCATCCCTGGTCAGCTTAGCTCTACTAGGAGAAATCTGTAACATGCATCAGAGTGACTTCAGAGTTGAAATTGTGTTTAAAAGGACCTGGCGTCTTAGGCTCCTAAGTTTCGTTCGTGGTCACTTAGAACAGATATTCCAGGTACAAAGAGGCTGTGATTTGACTATGTTATGTGACGTAATGGACTTTGTCTTCTCTTGTTTGAAAAAACATATAAATGCCAAGATCTCAGTAGCCTAAGAACTAAAGAATTCAATCTAAACTAGACTTCTTATGTTGACAAAGTATTTTAACTGTGTTACAGAAGGTGTATATTAATCATATAAAACGAAGTAGCCGCTGATAATGTGGGCATTCCCTAAAATGGAACACGATGGGTGAACCAGGTTTAGCAGAGTATTTTGAGTGTAATTGGAGTTTGCTTTTTGAATCCAGTTCTCAGAATTATCCAGCTATTGAGTTTAAAATGCTGAATAATTGTGCAGGCTGCAGCTCAGCTTACTTTGCCTTCTTCATAGTTTTAGACAGAACTGGAAATAAATATTGTTGCTGTAGCTTATGAGCTGTTCTGGGTTTTTTAAGTGCCCCAAAAGTGGCGCGTAAGGTATAAGCTCACAGTATAAGATGCTTTTTCCTCACTTACCGTCCATCAACCTCAGTTATCCTGGTATGACGCAGGATATGCATTCTGTGATGTGCTCTGTGTTATTGATGTGGCATTGGGGTCGGTTTAAAATTGTTCTTTAACAATTTTGGCTGGTTTCTAAAGCGTTCCTTTTGTTTTGACTTTATAACTTAAAAGCATGATATGAACAGGCAAACAAACAGGTCAAAACTATTGAGGCTTGCTGTACGATCTCAAGGGATTACAGATCATGCTGGCTTAGAAGAGAACTGAGAGTTTTGTTATCGGACCTAATTCAGCACCTGTGTCCTTAGTGAATGTATTGCTCTTGACTTTTGGGAGCGTGCCTGGCTAGGTGAAGCACCTAGGTCCGCGTTCTTCAAAATGTAAAATTCAGCAGCCTGTTTCATGTGTTACAGCAGTTCTTGCTGCCAATGGCAGCAGTTGGTTTTGCCGGCTGAACACAACACTTTTTCTGCCTCATGATGTAGTAGGTTGTCTGGATTGGTTTGTAACAGTCCTTAAAGATACTTTTGGGGCACTAAAAAGTATAAATTTTTTCGTCTTCTAGTTAAAAAACAGCCCTTGGCACTTTCAAATTGCTCGAAGGATTCTGTTGATATTAATTCACATTGTGTTTCTTCGAGGTAGTTAAACAAGTGTCTGTCTTGAATTGGAGACAACATAAGGTGGGACTGATGGAGAGAAATCAGCAGCCTTGCCTATGAGTAATTAGTGGCCAAAGGACCATATAGAAATCTGTTTTGGGGGACTTTCCAGCATAACATTGTATATCGTGATCATCTTAATGAAGCTGCCAAGACTATCTCCTACATAAGTTATTATATTTTTTGTTAGATTTTTAAAAGAGGATTTAAGATTGATGGGGCTAAAGGGGCTTAAGGGGGAGGTATATCCTGGTTAAAGTAGAAAGGGCTCACAGTGTAATCTTGGGATGAAAAAGATTTCCTGCCATTTTGCTGGTGGAGTTCTGAAATAGGATTTCATGTTAGAAGTGCTGCATGGGTTCTAGTAAATCTGGAGTCCATCTGGTGTGATATCAGGAGCGCAAAACCAAGATGAATCTTAAATACTGGATACCTTTTTTCACTTGGTATTTCAGCATTTCACCCAATGACAATTCTCCAACATGTTGCAACTTTCAACTTACCCTTTATTTCAGTTGCATTGAGGGAGAGAAAAGTACAGAATTCACTTTTTTCAGGAAGTATTCTTGAGATGGTATTCTTTTTTCAGGATTAATTATTTTGTTGTGTACTAGCTCATCTCCGTTTGTCTCTGGGCTAATTCTTGATCACTTTTTTTCTCAGGGTTTGGATCTATGCTGCGAGCACTCGGTGCTCAGATTGAAAAGACAACAAATAGAGAGGCTTGCCGAGACCTCAGTGGAAGGAGACTTCGAGACGTCAATCACGAAAAAGCGTAAGGCGTTTTCTTAGAAGCTAGAATTATAAAATGAACTGACCATGTAGTTCACTGTTAACAAAAGAGTTCAAATGGCGGGCTTTTGTAGCAGTGAAATTTTATTTTGAATACTAAAAAGAGCAAAAGTGAAACCTTAAGCACAGATAGACTGGAAGCCAACAGGATCCTTCTGGCATTAACTATATTACCGCAAAATAGAGATGATTGTAGTGCAGCCTGCTTCTGAGAGGCTGTTCTGCACCTCTTAGATTTCTCATCTGAAGTTCTCACAGTTCTTCTCTCTGGAGCTGCAAGACCATGGTATTCAGGATATGTGACCTTACTGCAGTTTCTGGCTTCCAAAATAAACTTCATTCTCTTCTCTGTAGCAGAATCTCTATATTTTTCTTCAGAAATTCCCCTGGGCACTGTTAGTTGTCTTTTCCCATTGTCTCCCATCTTAGCAACTGGTAGAAGCATTCAGTAATTGCAAAGCAGCAAACTGATATTACATTAAATGCTGGAAACACTCTCATTTTCATGGTTCTGTCACCTGCAGGATGGCTGAATGGGTGAAGCAGCAAGCAGAACGGGAAGCAGAAAAAGAGCAAAGGCGCTTGGAAAGGCTGCAGCGGAAACTTGCAGAGCCAAAGCACTTTTTCACTAGTCCAGACTACCAGCAGCAGTGTCATGAAATGGCTGAGCGACTAGAAGATTCAGTCCTTAAAGGTATTGCAGTTTAACCTCACTTTCGCTCCTCAAAAAATAAAGCAAACTAGAAGTCCCTATAGCCTCACTCCAGAATGAAAATTAAAAAAAAAATTGTCGGCAATAAGTCTTCCAATTGAATGAAATTTTAAATTCCAGTAAAATCTGTTGGACTTCATTTTTCCTCTTTGGCTGCTGCTCCTCTTAAATTGCATTGAACAGCGTGACACAGATAGAAGTGATGCTTCATTTTGCTGTGCCGCAGTGTCATCTCATAATAAAAGCAAAATTCTGTGAGGGTGGTGTTGCTGGTTCAGCTGTAAGAATTACATAATCATTTTCAGTGAAATGATAAAATACAAATAGGTCTTAGGTAAAAAACAGAAGTTGAAGCCATCTACAAAATATCTTGTTTCACTTACTACTATTCTTCCTAGTTATTTTATTTATCTACAGATTGTTCCCTTGTTGGCAGCTCGATAGTGAAACTTGAGGCTGAATGGGATGTAGAACTTGAGAGTTCAGTTCAAGAATCCAATTTTAATTGACTCTGTGCCTTAGTAAAGCAGTGTGGGAAAGCTTTTGCTACTACTGAGTTTATTTTGAAGTTTTGAGTCTATGTAAATGTGCACTACTAGTAATTATTTTCAGTTGGTGCTTTAAATTGCGTCTAAAATTGTAAGTGGAATTTACAAGGTTTGTGAATTGTGTACCCCTGATGTAGACTTTTAACTTTGTTTTGAAGGACTGCAGGCTGCTTCAAGCAAAACAGTGTCACCTGAAAATGGCAATAGTCGGAAACGTCCAGGTGAATCTGGAAATAATGGAACAAAACCTCGAAAAAAAAAATGTTTTTGGTAAGTGTTATGACTCTCTTTGTACTTAACACTCAAGTATTAAGCCTTAAACAGGATGACAGGTTAGGTACATACAAGCAAGCAACATCTTATCTGAGATGTAGGCTTAAATAGTAAAGTTAAATTGAACTGATTAAATTGGAGAACCGAAAGTAAATGTTGACTGCGTTCCTATAATTCTGTCCTAGCTGGAGCAGACAAACTTTGTTTGCAAAAATAGGCACCCTTTCCCTGCCCCCCTCTCCCTTCTAATATGGTTATATTCTGCTACCTCCCATTGTCCTTTTTTCCCATGAATTAAGTAGATTTTTAACTTTTTTTAAAAAAGAATAAAATTATTCCTGACAGCTTTGACCTACTGGAACATGAAAGAGAAGCCTTAATGGTTCCAGTGGTGTTTGGAGTAGTGATAGGTAGCAGGCATTTCTGTATTGAGAATGCTGTAAAGAGATACCTATTTTCGGAGGATGTTGGGTCCTGTTCAATATTAGCAGCTCTTCCATTTACTAAACTATTCTGAATAGCTGCTAGAGTAGTTCACTGCAGCTATCTGAAGTGAGTTTTGGAAAGAGAAGTGTGATAATAAAAGTAATTTTTTTTAAAAAAAGTGAAAATACATGAATATTAATTTGTAATGTACTGCTTATGCCAGGCTGGGATTGGAAGGATTGGATGATTCTGACAGTTCGGATTGTGAGGACAGTGAAGATGACTCCCCTCATGAGTCTGATGGAAGTTGTCCATCAAGCAGCAGATACAATGAAAATGCTGGAAACTTGACTGAATGCTCAAGCAGTTCTCTGGATTTGGTAGAGAATAGTCCATCTACCAGTGCAATTGAGAAACCACTGGAGAAGCCAGAAGGTACTGGAAGAGATCTGCAAGGAGAGACACACGCAGGTGGGCAAACTGGAATTCCAGCTGAGAAAAACAGCAAAACGACGAAGCCCTTGAAGGAAGAGACCCAAGAAAAGAATGAAGTAACCCAAGCTGTGAAAGAAGAGGAACAAGAAAGTGTTTCTTCTAAGGCACAGGAAACAAACCAGTTACAGAGCACAGTAAGTATGAAGCAATACAAAATGCAATATGTCTTTCTCTTCAGCTGCTTTTACTGAATTGCTTTTCCCTTTGTGGATGGCAGAAAAAGGGAGGGGATTTGTATCCTATGACTTCAATGCATTAGGTGTACGTGCTTGAATTAGAGTCATAGTCTCCTGAAGAAGCTAATGTAATCTCCAAAGTTTGATTCAGAGCACAGAAAATCCCAAGGTGAAAAGGAAAAACAGCTTAACGGAAGATGCGTTGTACAACTTACGAAAATGGAATGTAGCAAATGAATGGAAACTGCAGCCAAAGAAGGCTCTTGGTTGACAGTGTCTCCATGGAGATAGCTGAATTGTAGTATGGTAGCGTTGTCTTGAGAGAGACTAAGTAGAATGGGTCAAGGAAGAACTTTGTAAGGTTAAGATTTTAATAGTTTAGAGTTGCCCTTGGCCGTCTAGTATTGTCTTTCCTGAGATCCATGTTTCTCTTGGTTTTGTTTTTGTTTTTTTTTTCTCCTTCTACATAATGGATACACTCTGGATCCAAAATTCTTCATTGAGGGGGGCAAAAAAGGAAAATAAAACTCTTCTATAGGATGAAAGACACTTACCAATACTCTTTGACACATTAGTCAAATTGGACAGTCTTTAGCAATCTTATTTGTAATGTAATTTGACCTTGATGTTTATCATTGACCTCAATGTTTAAATTAGATGCCCCTAAACCAATCAGCTGATCCTGATCTGTCTTTCTTAGTTTTTATTATAAAAAGACTTGAGTGTAGTTCATAGAGAACCTCAACTAGTCTGGTGCAAACTTCAGTTCTTCATTGACTGCCAAAAGTCTGAAAGCAGCAGCTCCTTCACTATAGAGACAGGATTAGTGTAAACCATGGGCTTCATCTGAACTGCAAAGGAGGCTGGAAGCATCATTTTCAAACAGATCATCTGGTGTATCCATGGTGGAAGCAGGTCTGTCTGCTGTTGCCGTACTGTTACCTCTGCGGGCAGTCTGGGTTGGTGTCGCAGCCCTCAGCTGGATCAGAAGCAGTGCTGACTGAGGTTCCTTCTCTGGTGATTGACAGGAGGATGGCTGAGAGTCTTTTGCTGAAGAGGCTTGGGATCAGTCTTCCAGCCAAGATAGAATGTAGCTTTTCCCGCTGTATTGATGAAAGCCTGACTAATATTTGGCAGTGAAGGGTGCCAATACTTGTGCTTCATTGCTCCTTGCATAATGTTACTATTAAAAAATGTTTAGTGGTAATGAATCTAGGCTTATTCTAGCAATAAAACGTGACCTCTTTTTGGGGCTAGGAATTTGCTTGGATTTTCTGTCTTTTTTCAGCTTGAGCAGGAAGTCTACCGTCAGCTGCCACTGCCAATGACTGAATTCTGATAAGTGGAAAGTTTAATACAGTTAAATGGAGAAAAAAAAGACCAAGGATGTAGTCTGATAAGTTAGAACTTTGTCATCTACTGTACTATTAGAGCTGGCAAATTTTAAACAGGATGTTTACCATTCTTCACTGTTTACCTTTTGCTTAGTATTTGTGAGACTGTCTATTCCTAGCACAGGAAACTCCACCAGTGCTGTGGCAGATTGTTATTGCAGGTGGAAATACTTTTATAATAGTCCTTGATGGATTTTTTTTTCTCTTTTTTTTTTATTTGAAGTAGGATGAGAATAATGAGGCAACCAGTCTTTTTTTGTATGCTTGGCAGGACAAAGGTTCTAATTCTGCTAGTGTTAACTGTTTTTGCCCAGTTCATAGCAGAGTGGTCTCATTCCCACTGCTGGTATTACTTGCTCTGAAGTCTCCTTGATAACTGCATCATGATACGTTATCACAGGACTAATATGTGCTTTTAAGTATTGAACAAAGTGGGCTTAGATTTTCGTGTCCTTTTTAGCGTGTTAATGTTTAGTGTTTAGCATGTTAGTAAATTCCAGCATTTGAACTATCCAGTCTTTGTCCACATTCTTTTGTGGACAAGGCCCTGAGCTTGAATTAGACAATCTGTAGAGGTCTCTTTCACCCCTGAGTATTCTGCGGATGTACTAATATCCTTTTAAAATGGAATTTGAGTTCATTTTCTTGAGATAGAATGAGATGTAAACTTCAGAACTTGCCTTTTGGTTAATCTTACTAAAAAGCGGGTGCCCTTAGGTCTGTTTCTGTAATTGCAGTGTAACTGCACTAGAAATAGCTATTGATCCTCCTTCCTGGTACTGCTGGGGGTATTTTGGGTATGTTCTACATAGGGCTAAAAAGGGGCTGTTAGCTTTGCCATGCCTCTGGAAGCCAAGGGAAAGCTACTGAACTGCTAGGAAAGATGGTGGCCTGTTGTTTTTAATTCATTTTTCTTGGGAGTATTTAAATTCCCTAGGGATAAAACCATTGTTGAGACTATTTTGTTTAGAGAGGAATAAGATTGAATACTGCCACTTACTTTTTTTTCTATTATTTTTCTTTTTCAGCATTCCTCTATTGCAAGTAGAATATGTTAATTCTCTTGAAATAATTTTAACACTTCAGCAGTTTATATCATTTTAAATGACCAGTGCTTCTGTCTTGGAGGCTGTGTACGTTGCAAGCCTAAGCACACCTGCAGCTTGTCTGGATGTGTTAGTTAGAACAAGCCGGTGACTGGCTTGCAGAGGCACTGCGAGGAGCAGAATTGTAGCAGTGCAGTTGGACACTGGGTACAAAGCTCACCTGAGCATTCGTCCCGCTCTCGGGTGTGTTATCTCGGCTAAGATTCGGCAGGTGGCTAGGATGGCTTCAGTTTGCTTCCATATGATGCAGTAGTGCTTTGGCTGAGTAGCGTAAGTACCGCTAATAACGAGAATATCCAACATAATACATACGGAGACATTGCTCAACTTTATTAAGTAGTTAGGAGTTGGAGATAATCCAAATTGAAGGTCTTCTGTGAAATGGAGCATTCTGTCTACACTCGCTCCTCCCCGCCCCAGTCAGGAAGAAAATAATAATGGTCTGATGGGATGTTTTTCTCTTTGCAGGAGGTGGAACCAATAGACCTACTGGCATTCAACTCTGCTGCTGAAATGGAAGCTCTGGGTTTAGATAAACTGAAGATGGAGTTGATGTCTTTAGGACTGAAATGTGGAGGCACTTTAAAGGAAAGAGCAACAAGGCTTTTTTCAGTGAGAGGCCTGTCTAGAGACCAGATCGATCCTTCCTTATTTGCCAAGCCCTCTAAAGGGAAAAAAAAGTGATTTTTTTTTT